TTTTTTTGGAGATGGAGTCTTGCTCTGTTGCCCAGACTGGAGTGCAGTGGCACAGTCTCAGCTCACGGCAACCTCTGCCTCCCGGGTTCAAGCGATTCTTCTGCCTCAGCCTCCCGAATAGCTGGGACTACAGAAGTGCACTACCCCGCCTGGCTAATTTTTTGTATTTTTAGTAGAGATGGACTTTCACCACATTGGCCAGGCTGGTCTCGAACTCCTGACCTCAGGTGATCCGCCTGCCTTGGCCTCCCAAAGTGCTGGGATTACAGGTGTGAGCCACCGCGCCTGGCCTATTTATCATCTTTATCTCCCCTATTTAATGTAGCTGCTTCCCTGCAGGGATATTGTGAACTTGTTACAAGGTATTGCTAGGGTATAATGTACCATATAGCATGTGGACATCACGTTACCTTGGGGGCCTATGCTAGAAGTTTTCTAGAAAAACCAGACAAGTGCTCTGGCCCCAGCCTCCCTACCAGCTGCCAGAATGATGTCGCCGAAGCACACACCTTGTCAGGCCACCCCTTGCCAACTCCCAAGGCTCCTCTTGCTCTTAAAAGAAGTCCTGAGTTATTGCTGAGTCCTTCCTGGGAGTTCACCCCTGCCCTGCTTGCCACATCTCCCACTTCACTCTGCCTTAGGTCCTTGAGCCTTCCCTCAGTTCTTCAAATATGCCAAGGTGGTTCCTACCTCAGGGCCTTTGGACGTGCTGTTCTCTCTGTCAGAAACACTTTCTGCACTGAGCTTTCTGTACCAGATTTCAGCTCAAATGTCACCTCCTCAGAGAAGCCTTTCCTATCCCCAGACTAGGTCAGGTCCAAGGATTCTTCTCCTTGGAGCCTGCCATCACCCTCATAGTGATTTAATGGGGGGAGGGAGGGTCTGTCCCTTAAAGTGAGAATGCTGTGAGGGCAATGACTTGGTGACTTTGGTCCCTGCTGTCTTCCAGTGCCTGGCACAGAGAAGCCTCAAGCTTGCTAATTGAAAGCCTTCAAAATGCTGTCAGCCCAGGAAGGAGGCAGACACATCGTTAAAGCCTCTGTCCTGCCTCAGGTGGCTGGGCTAGGGGCTCTGTGCAGTTGGTAACCAGGAGAAATAGAGTTGAATTCCAACCAGGAGACTCCAGGAAGACTTCCTGAAGGAGGAGGTGTTTGGGCTAGCCCAGTGGTTTTCAGCTAGGGGTGACGTCACCCTCTGAGACATTTGGCGGTGTCTGGAGACATTCTGGTTGTCCAGCTGGGGAGAGGATGCTACTGGCATCTGGTGCTCAGGGGCCATGGATGCTGCTAAACATCCTCAGATGCCCAGAACAGCTCCCCTGTCACTCCCAACAACAAAGAATTATCCATCCCCAAATGTCAGCAGTGCGGAGGCTGAGAAAACCTCTTTTAGACAGGATGTGGAGTACCAACAAATGTCCAGAAGCTGCCCATGGCAGAGTGTGCCAGGGCCCATATGGCTGAAATTCAGGGGTGAGGAGTGTGTTATCATGGTGGGAGATGGGATTCGAAATTCCTCAAATATCAGTTCTCAGGATCACCAGAACTGTATGAATCCACCACCAGGGAGTTTACCTGAGGCCCAGCTGGAAGGGGTCCCCGCCCCTAACCCCCACCCTCAGCAGTGACTGAAACAGGACTTGGCATCTCTCTGCAGGGAGCTGGACAGCCTTGTCCAGTCCTCACAGTACTGCAAGGGTGAGAACCACCCGCACTTTGAAGGAGGAGTGAAGCTCGGTGTGGGGGCCTTCAACCTGGTGAGTGCTCCTGCCCCATTTCCACAGCACCTGGCTCGAGCTCAGTCTCCCCTTCTGTCCCTGACTCGTGTGGTCACTGCCAAGTGCCCCTGCACCTGACTGTGTGCTGGGCACTGGGATCCAGAGATGATCAGATGTGTGGCCAGCCTTCAGGGACTCACAGCTGGGGTGGGGTTGGAGTGGGCGCTGGAGCCAGCTCCAGAGTCCATCAGTGCATTTCTTCCCAAGTCCGGCCAGTAGCTTGAAATCCACTGTGGTAGAGCCTTCACAGCACCTGACCATGGCACACATAATAAATCAGGGCTTTCTCTGCCCTAGAGAGCTGCTGGTTACACATTTACCAGTGGCAGGGAAGGAGACAGTCCTGAAACCAGCTGATGACTTAGAGGGGACAGAGAACTAAGTCTTCCTCCTGCATGGAGTGGGGGAAGGTTTCCTACGGGAGGGAGTGAGCATCTGTGCTGGCTCCTGAAGGATTCCTAGGAGTTTCCCAGCTGAGGAGGGGCTTTCAGGCAGAGGGATCAGGAAGTCTGGGAAAACTGCCTGATCAAGGGAGGAGGAGCTTCCCAGGGAAGATTTTAGCCTCGGGAACCTAGGTGGCCAGGGGCCTTTCCAAAGTTAGAGGGTGGCCCTCTCCTCTCCAGGTAAAGCCTGTTAAAGAGCAGGCCTTGGGACAGTGGGGGTGGCCCCTGCCCCCTCTGGGTACCTTCACATGCTTGATTACCTCCTTTCTTGCAGACATTGTCCATGCTTCCTACTAGGATCCTGAGGCTGCTGGAGTTCGTGGGCTTTTCAGGAAACAAGGTAACCACCTGCTTCCTAGCACCCCTGACCTGCTCAGCCCCAAAACTAGGGCTGGGCTGGACAGGGTGGGGCTGACAGGCCGCAGGGCCTAGGTGCCCGTCCTGGCTCAGCCCCTCTCATTGTATGACCCCGGACAATGCCCAGACCTCCCTGGGCCTCAGTCTTCTCTCCAGGCGAATGGGGCTAGTGATTCCTGCCTGGCCCTCCCAGGGTGCAGAGACTCTGGGTGGGTGGGGGTGGCTATGAAGGGCAGCTCCATCAGTGGCCCAGGATCACACATTCTCTGAGCCTGACAGGTGTCAGGAGCTGGTTCCTCTTTCTATAGATACTGCCTCACTTCAAGACTTTGAGCAAGTCCTTCCCCAAAGGACCATTTTCTGGTGCTACCACTTCATCCAGCAGATGCCCGAGGGAGGCCCTACTGGGCATCAGACCTTGAGGAGGAACCAGAGAACTCAAGCACCCAGAGACTTTACTGAGGGCAAGAACCTGAGTACTAACCCCAGGTTGAAGGCAGCAGATCAGGGAGGGCTTCCTGGAGGAGGAGGCTTCGTGTGGTAGAAGGAGCATTGGCCTGGAAGTTAGGATCTCTGGGTCAGTCCAGCCTCATCCCCTTTTCTCTGTGACTCTGAGCAAGTCCCTACCTTCTCTGAGCCTCTTTTTAGTAAAATAAGGACCTTGTAATGGACCAGATAAGTGTTTCTCAAATGTGCACTGACCCTTACTGATATTTGCCACAAGCGCGGACCTCTCTTTTATAATGTATATATTACTTTTCTCAAAAGTGACTCATGACTTTTACTGAAATTGATTCAAAGGAAACATGTCTACACAAACCTCCATATTATTTGGCATGATAAGAACATAATCATAAAAATAAATACCACAAGGGCCCAGCCGTCTTTTGGAAAGCCCAGCTAGACTATGTGGTGGGCCCGGGTTCAGCCAGGGCTGCCTCTTTCTGAGAAAGGGGGCTTAGGGTGAGAGAGTTCAAACCCCGCGAGCAAAGGACTGGGGATTTCTCCTGGGCACCACCAAAGGATAGAAAGATAACTGAGAAGGGAAAACGCTCACGGTGACTCAGTGTTTCCTGGCGCCTGCCCACGGACCCCTGAAATCTTGGCTGCCCTCTGCTGTCTGAGCTTTGGAAAACATTGGCTAGAGGCTGTGAAGGTCTCTTTCAGTTTTGTTTCCTTAAGAAAGCACATGGGTCATGAGTAGGACTTCAGGATGATGAAGGGAGGGCCCAGAGGTGAGGCAGTGTGGCCGGGCCAGGCGGGTTGCGGGACCTACTGTGCCAGCCTGGGCTTCCTCTTTATCTCGAAGGCAGGGGAGCCATGGAGGGTTTGAGGCAGGAGTGAGGCAGGTCAGATTTGTGTTTTAGAAAGAACGAGAATGCTCTGGAGGACAGACCAGGGCAGAGACTGCAGGCAGGGAAACAAGGTGGGGGGTCTGTCCCCAGCCCCTCCCCAGCCAGGCTCTGGAGACTTCTCCCCCAGGAAGCCTTCCCAGGCCCCACCTGTGCCCTGAGCCCGTGGCTGGGATCATCCACCTCCGTGTCTCTCGTGCTCCCAGCCAGACCTGGGTTGCTAGAGCCCTCAATACCCATTGCAGGGCAGCTGAGCCGGTGACTATAGGGAGGGTGGGGAAGGGGCTGTGGAGAAGGTGGGGGACACCTGAGACCCGCCAGGCCTTTGTCCTGGCCTTGGCAGCCATGTCCCCTTCCCCCAGGAATGCGCTGGGGCACTGAGGGGCAGCCCCTTGCTCAGGGCCACGCAGCTGACCCGGCCTCCAGGGTTCCAGCGCTCTTCCGCCCCTTTGCTGGCAGCACTGCCCACACAGCTGTCCAGCTGCCTCCCAGGCCCCTGCCCTCTCTGGGAGCCTCACCCACCCTCCCGTCCCCTCAGGACTATGGGCTGCTGCAGCTGGAGGAGGGCGCGTCAGGACACAGCTTCCGCGCTGTGCTGTGTGTCATGCTCCTGCTGTGCTACCACACCTTCCTCACCTTCGTGCTCGGTAGGTGCCCCTGTACAGGGGGACCTGGGGCCCTGGGGTTTGGTCGTCTCCAAGGGGGCAGGAGAATGAGGGACTACAGACCCTGCTCATGCCCCTGCGGCTAGGGATAGGGGTACTGAAACCAGAAACAGAGCCACATCCACTGTCCTGGGGACTGGCCTGCTGACGCCCACTGCCTCACAGTGTGACTAGGTTCCAGCCTCAGTTTTCTCATCTGTGAAATGGGGGCAGGGGGTGGTGCCTACCCTGTGGAGGGCGTGAAGACACTGTGTACAGCACCTTATGGTTCTGGGCACAGCCTTGGTGGACACAGGCTCCTGGTTATCGAGCCCTGTGAAGTGCTTGGGGCGATATCTGCACTGCCTTATATAATCCTCATGTCACCCTAGGGACAGGGAGAATTATCATCCCCATTTCACAGAGGGGGAAGAGGAGACCCCGGGAAGCCCCTACTGGGTTGCTGGCAGGATCACAGGAGCCAGGAGTGCTGACATGTTCTGTGTCTCCCCCACCACCTCCTCCAGGTACTGGGAACGTCAACATCGAGGAGGCCGAGAAGCTCTTGAAGCCCTACCTGAACCGGTACCCTAAGGTGAGCCCCATGCGCTGCCCGGTACCTCCAGCCCACAGACACCCACAGACCCCCACGGACCCACACGGACTTGCATATGTGTCATTGCAGGGTGCCATCTTCCTGTTCTTCGCAGGGCGAATTGAAGTCATTAAAGGCAACATTGATGCAGTGAGTGATGGGGGTCAGGGCCGGGGCTGGGGATCCCTCGGGCTCTCCCAGGCCAGCAGTAAGTCAGGCATATGTGACATACTCAGGGACAGGACAGACTGGGAGGGGGTCCCCAAGAGAGAACCAACCAGAGAGCAGGAGAGGGAGAGGCCCTTTGGACAGAGCAGCCTGGGAAGACGGAGGAGGAGGCATTTGTGGTGCCTGGGATTTTGACTGGGAGATACAGGACTGCAGCATTGCAGTGGAAGGAGGTGCGGGGAGGTGCTTGAGGGAGGCAGAGGTTAGGAAAGCCCATCTGTTTAGGGCATGGCCATTAGGCTGGAGTCTGGTACCTCCCCTCCATTATAGCTCTGTCCTGTTCTTTCAATTTGTTACAAAAAACCAGAGTCCCAGGCGGGGACTGTATTTGGGCCCAAGGTCATGTAAGACTTAGGAGGTAAAACCAGAACTGGAGGCCAGATCTCCTGGCTCCTGGGGCCCTACCTGAGCCTAGCACAGGGTTGGACCACCATGACCTGGAGAGGCCCGGTCTGCTGTGGAGTTGGGAGGTGCAGAGGATGCAGAGGGGTTGGGGCTGGGTGGGCACCCATCAGGCTGACCAGAAGGTGCCTGCAGGCCATCCGGCGTTTCGAGGAGTGCTGTGAGGCCCAGCAGCACTGGAAGCAGTTCCACCACATGTGCTACTGGGAGCTGATGTGGTGCTTCACCTACAAGGGCCAGTGGAAGATGTCCTACTTCTACGCCGACCTGCTCAGCAAGGAGAACTGCTGGTCCAAGGTGGGCTGATGCCACGTGTTAGGAGCATTGGGTGAACAGGGCTGACTGTGTGCCTCCAGACCAGGGGCCAAATCCCTAACTAAACACAGATGTCTCAGCTGAAATCTAACATAACCGTAAATTCTAATAGGACTCAGGCTTGGAAGGAACTAAAGACCACAAGAGAAACTTCTGAACCACAGTGTGTCACAAAGGGACTTCTAGTCACAAAGGACAGAAACATGGCTCCCTCTGTCCAACAGAACTGTCTCTATGGTAGAAATGTTCTACTTATGCACTGCCCACATATGGTAGTCACCAGTCACATGTACACAGTGAGCACATGAAATGTGCCTAGTGCAGCTGGGAAACTGATTGTTTTCAGTTTTACTTAATTCAATTAACTAAATGTTAAATTTAAATAGCCATGTAGGGCTAGTGGCCACTAGACTGGACTATGCAATTCCAAAACACAAAAGGCTCATATAACTGAACATTCTTGGCACATCCGACTTCAGGTAGGGCTGGATCCAGGAATTCTAATGAAATGTCTGGCTTGGTCTTTCTATCTGTGACTGTGCTCTATCCTGTGACATCTTTGTTTCTGCGACATCTTTGCAGGAAGCTTCTCTCCATGTGACAGGCAAGGTGGCCACGGGCTGCTTCTACTCACATCCTCCCCTTGGTTTCAACCAGAGTCCCACAATTCAGCCTCACTGGTCTGACTTGTCACATGCCAATGCCTGGAACAGAGGGGTGGGAAGATTCTTCATGGGCTGAGGGTAGGAGAGGAGTGGTTCCACAGAAGAAAATGATGCTCCCAGAAATAGTGGAGGGATTAACAAGATGCCATATAGGCAAAACAAAGCCAAACAGATGCTTGCCTACCAAAGATGAAATTTATCACGGTGAGTATTGAAATAAGTGTTAGCTTGTACCATCATAGTAATGATAGTGCAGAAATTGGAATCAAGAGTCTTAGAACCACCTAGCTCAGCAAACGTCTAATCTGTTATTTGTAAATACACAGGACATGTGTCTTCATGGCTTCATCCCCTGCCCATAGCAGACATTGCTAATCAGTCCTCTGCCATGAGCCTGGCTGTGACCTTAGATGCTTTCCCTGCAAAGCTCCAGGCAGCTGTTAGAACTGACCCGCATTGGCACCTGTTAGGACACCTGTCATCTGCATCTGGTCCCTCCCCCTCCTCCACATGGAGGTCTCTTTTCAGTAGCCCTGCCTGGGGACCAAGCTGAAGGGGAATTTTCTGGGTCTGGGGCAGGTGGGGCTAGGGAAGGGAACAGGCTTCTACTGAGCTCTCAACGTGTCTGGCACCTGTCCTGTCCTCCACACCACACCCAGTGAGGAGAAGTTATTATCTCCATTGGGCACATGAGGGCCACTGACACTAAGCGAGGACTGTGACTTTCCCACCCACATGGCTGTTGGTGACAGACACTGGATTTGAGGACAGTCCTGTGTGACTCAGAGGCCTCTGCTTCTCTCTTGCTCCTAGAGTCCTCCCGAGGAGTCGGGGCTTGCCCTGAGCCCACCCTGCTACTGAAGGTGCTTCCTCAGGCCCAGCTCCCATGGCCCCCACACCTCCTCCTACTCCCAACAAGGACAAAGCCTCAGGGAACCTTTTTTCTTTTTTGAGAGATAGGGTCTTGCTATGTTGGTCAGGCTGGTCTTGAACTCCTGGGCCCAAGCAATCTTCCCATCCCTGCCTCCTAAAGTGCTGGGACTCTGGGCCTTAGGGAACCTTTTTGAACTGAAAGTGACTCTTGAAGCCTTCCTGTAGAGTGAGGTGGGTGGCTGGGGCTAACCACATGGGGAAAGGGAGACCTGGTGGGGGCACACAGCTGCTGTATAGAGGAACGGAAGGTGGGCCAGGTCTCCCAGCTGTCAGCAAGTCTGGCCTAGTTCCCAGCCCGCTGGGGTGGCCAGTCCCGCGCTCTCTGCAACACTCTCCTCATGAGGACTTCCTGTGAAAAACGGGGGTTGTAACACTCTTGAGTTCTGGGGCCCCATCCATTTCTAATCTCTAGAACTTGGCCATCGCAGACTCCACCAACTTATAGTCCTGGGGCCTGGGCCTCTGGCCATTACCATAGGCACCACCCGCTCTGCACAGGCAATGCCCCTCTCTGCCAGGATCCTCCGAGGTCAGCTGCTGGGTCTGACCCGCAGACCCTGACTGAGTGATGGATGAACAGAGTACGCAGACACGGGCTTGCCTGTCAGCAGATAGGGGACCCTTGCCAGAGTTAGCAGCAGCCCCCATAAGCCGGCCATGCTTGCATTTATTTAGTACAGATGTAATGACAAAGGCCTACAGCAAACTCCATTTCTGGGTAATTAACATTGTGCCCCCCGCCCCACCCCCGGAGAGAGCAGTCCTCTGCTCCGATGATTAAAGGCCAGGTTCCGAGGCCTAAGTAAACTAACTTATCTAGATCAATTCCCTTCTTGTTATCTACTCTGAGAGAACTCAGCTGTCTTCAGCCACATCCTTTCCCGAAGCTTTTGCAAAACCTCCCAGCCTTCCAAGAAGGTTTGCTGCTTTATATAATTTTTCCCACCCTGACCTATCTCCTACAGTCAGCCCTGTGGAGGCCTTTGTGTTTCCCCCAGTGCTGGCAGCCTGGAGGCTTAGATGGCCAGAAACAAGGCGGTGACAGTGGCCTGCTCAGGGCTTGGGAAACCCAAGGAGCTAAAGGCATCCTCGGGCAACCCAAGAGGACAGGAAGGCTTCTGAGGAGAGACCTCTGAGGTGGGTCTTGGAGAGGAAGGATTTAGGGAGGCAGAGTGGAGGAAGTGAGAGGACACCCCAAGCCGAGAGGGCGGCAGGACCAAAGGCTCAGAAGCCAGAGCGTTGCGGAGGGGCTCTGTGCCATGGGGTGAAGAGTTTGCACAGCAGAAGAGCAGGGGGCCTGTATCAGGGGAGACAGCTGCTCTTTTCCCCCAGTGTGGCCGCCGTACTTCTCTGGAGAGCTGGGGCATCCACAACTCTCAGTCACAGCCTCCATCCTAACCCTGCTGGTGCTGTGAGGGTGAGCTGTCTCACCCTTGGAGGTGAGCCTGGTGGAGAAGGCTCTTGGAGGTGAGCCTGGTGGAGAAGGGATAATGGCATCCCAGGCCGAGGAACAGCACAGGCAGAGGTCCGAGGAGAGTTTAAGGAGTGTAGGGGAGGAAATGGCAGAAGATGAGCCAGAAAAAGAAAGGTTAGGGCAGGCCGTGGAGGACGTGAGTGGCTGTTTGAGCTTTATCTAGCAGTAGGGGAGCCCTGGCAGGCTTATGGCTTAGATAGGTGCTTTAGGAAGCCCACCAGCAGTTGCTGGGCCATCCCCACTTGCCAGGTCCTGTTCTAGGCCAGGAAATACAAGAGTGAGCAGGAAAAGACCCCCTCTGAAGGCTCACATCCTAGTGGGGAGAGAGACAAGAAACACAGATGTGCAATATAACATGATGTCTGGTTCCAGTAAGAGAAGTGAAGAACAAGCGAGGCCGGGCGCAGGGAGTGACGGGAGGGGCTCCTTTGTAAGGGGAGGTCGGGGGAGGCCTGTCTCAGAGGACACCAGAATGGAGCGCAGGAGCAGCGCATGGCAGTCACAAAGCAGGCCATTTGGGCAGAGGGAGCTGTGTAGGGCAGGGCAGGAGTGTGTTTGATGTGTCCTGGGAGCAGCCCGGAGGCCGTCGTATGGCTAGAGTGTGGCAGGTGTTGGGGAAACAGTAGATGTCTCCTGAGTGTGATGGGATACAACCAGATTTCCAGAAGGGACTGACGTGAGCTGACTTAAAAAGGTCAGCGTGCGAAATGGCTTGCAGGGGACAGGAGTGGGAGCAGGGAGACAGGAGACAATGTGTACCAGGACAGCAAAAAGACATCCCGGGTAGCCTGGAACAGGGAGACGGTGTGGAGATGGTGGCAGTGCGATAATGAGAGCCGTAGGGCAAGGCCAGCAGGATCCTAGAATGAGACGGGAGGTAAAGTCACTGGGACTTGGTGCCTCCACGTCAGGGGCAGGGGAAAGGGAGAGGACAAGGGCAACCCGGGAGGTTAAAGATGGGACCGGGGCCAGGCGCAGTGGCTCATGCCTGTAATCCCAGCACTTTGGGAGGCTGAGGCGGGCGGATAGCTTAAGGTCAGGAGTTTGAAACCAGCCTGGCCAACATGCTGAAACCCCGTCTCTACTAAAAAATACAAAAACTGCCAGGCGTGGTGGTGCATGCTTGTAGCCCCAGCTACAAGCCGGGAGGCGGAGGTTGCAGTGAGCCGAGATCGCCCCATTGCACTCCAGCCTCAGTCTGGGCGACAGAGCAAGACCATCTCAAAAAAAAAAAAAAAAGGTGGTACCGGGAACAGGTTTCAGGGAGGGAGACTCTTCCCACAAAGACCAGCTTTTCCTCATGCTGTAAAGGGCGGGCTGAGGCCCGCGCATGGGTGGGGCTGCCAGGTGGAGGCCGCTTTCCGCCTGCTCTAGGCAGGACTCCCGGATGTCCGGCGGCCTTTCCTCTCCACCCTTTCTTAGCCAAGAGGCAAGAGCTATGGTTCGGAACTTGGCCACCTGAGGGCAGCACAGAGCCAGGCTCCTGTCTCGGGACTTCTGAGGAAGGGGCGTGGCGTGCAGGGAGAACTGGGTGGGGTAGGGGGTTCTCCCGCAGGGCCACGGTTTCACTGTCAGGGCTGGCTGTGCATCTAGTGGCCAAGGCCGTGGTGGGGTCGACTCCCGGCTCTGCCCCAGTAGCTCTGGGGTCCCAGGAAGCAGAGGTAGGGTACGGACTCCTTTCTGGCATTGGCTTTGGGATCAAGCGAGGTGCCGGATTTGATGTGCCTGGCACACAGCAAGGCAGATAGTTCTACCAGAGTGGCCCGAGCTGAGCCGACCCAGGCCCTGCTCACGTTTCTGGCTCAAGCCTCTTTTTTTTACAGCCCGTGCTTCATCGTCTATTGATAATCCACACATATCCTGTCGCCTCCTGGCTTTGCTCAGCCCCTTACCCTTGGCTGGAAGGCCCTGTCTGGGGCCTCAGGGAATGTCCCCATTGCCCTTCAGGGGCCCACTCTGAAGGTGTTGCTTCCCGGAAACCCCGATTGAGCCCCTGTCCTTGTGTGTCTGCCGCAGCCTCAGCCTGTCCTACCCATTACTAGTTGCATGGGTTCTTCTTGCCACTGCTTCAAGTGGAGAAGAAGGTGGCTGCTTTGACATGGGTTGTCCTGGATTCCGGTCTTCAAGTTGCTTCAACTTCTTACCTTCGTTTTTCCCCTGGGGCTTGGAGACAACGCGAGCTCCTATGCTGGGCCACGTGAGGTCCGTCTGCAGATTCCAGCCGGGCTGGGGCTGGAGGAGGGCTGCTCACACCTGGCTGTTGCTCTGTCTCACACAGGCCACCTACATTTACATGAAGGCCGCCTACCTCAGCATGTTTGGTAAGGAGGAGTACAAGCCATTCGGGGACGACGAGGTGGAATTATTTAGGTGGGTCTCACCATCGTGCTCCCACTGTGTAGGCCGCTATGGACAGACCAGCCAGGCTATCCTGAGCTGTGGGCACTGCGGAGGGAGGAGTGGGGTGACTCCCTGCCCCTACCCCAGGACTGACCCACCTGCGTGTCCTCCCCTCCCATTGCCACCCCATGCTGCTGCTACTGGTGGTTGGAGCCCTTTGAATTTCTTCAGAGGCTTTCTTTCACAGAAATGGTTTTGTCAATATCATCTCCCTCCAAGTCTCTTTCATGTGGGCAGTAGGACAGATATGGCCACCAAGGTCCGGGGAGGGAAGGTCTTTCACTCTGCTGAGTTAACCTGAGACACTCAGAGAAGCACAATGGAGAACTGAGAGTCGAAATCGAACAAACAGGAGTAAACCCAGCCCCTGCTTGTTCTTAGCTGTGTCACCTGGGACAACTTCGGCATCTGTAAAATGGGAATAACAACCTCCACCTCGCTGCACTGTTTTGCAAATCAACTAGATAATAAATGTAAAGAGCCTGGCATAGAGCTAGGAGCCTAGAAGCTGCCCGCTAAGTGGTGGCTGTTTTCATTCTTCCTGTACCACCGTATTTGCTTCCTGTGAAGCATCTTTAGAGCAGAGCTCAGCCGTGGCAGGTGGAGGATGGAGCTTGGAGCCTTCCTCCAGTCTTGGTGAGGTTGACCCCAATTTGCAGACCTGGAAGTGGGTATAATATGGGCCTCCTAGGCTACTGCTGTCACAATAATAGGGCATTCATCACTTCCAGAGTGTCTGCTGCTACAGCAGGTTCCATGTCCCCTCTCAGATGACTCTTCCAGAAAGCCTAGGAGGCCAGGTGTCATTACCTCCATTTTAGAGATGAGGAAATTAAGGCCAGGAGAGGTTCTACAGTGAATAAGCAAACGAAGAGTTTGGGGGGACCTCACACCCACATCCAGCTGTTTCCTGTGCCTAAATGGCTCAGGCCTGAGGTCACAGCCACACCCAGTGACTGTGGCAGAAATAGGAGGAGGGTGGGATGGAGCTGGGTGGGTGAGGCCCCAGATGTGGAGGCGTGCCTGGTGGCATACCGCATTTTGCTCTGTCCCTGCAAACAGCTGAGAAGGTGAGAACTCTCGAGTCAAGAGTTAATTAAGGGTTTGAGCTGTTTGGTGTTGGGTAGGTCGCACCCTTTCTCTGAGTGTTGGTCTCTCCTGTGAAATTGGGATTAAACTTCTCTTGAGTCCTCCCCGGAAATGGGGCCTGGGAGTGGAGGCGATAACTAGGAGGCAGGACTGACCCAGGGGTGTTTGGCACACTGGCACTTCTGCCAGCTGGCGGGGAGGAACCCCTTGCCCAGCCATAGGAAGTGGCCAGGTCTTGGGGCAGGGTCTCTAAAATAAGACCATAGCCGCAGGCTATTTCAGACCTAGAAGGCTCTTTAGAGTCCAACACTGTCATTGTACGGATGGGGAAACTGAGGCCCAGAGAGGGGCCAAGCATGGCTAGGTAGGCTGGGGACCCTCCGCCCTCTCCTACTCTTTTTCATCCTCTCCCACCCTCCCCATCTCTTTTGCAGAGCTGTGCCAGGCCTGAAGCTCAAGATTGCTGGGAAATCTCTACCCACAGAGAAGTTTGCCATCCGGAAGTCCCGGCGCTACCTCTCCTCCAACCCTATCTCGCTGCCAGTGCCTGCTCTGGTGGGTAGGAGGTCTGGACTGGCACTGCCCTCCGGGTATAGGATTGTGAGGATTCACTGAGAGCCACAGCCAGGGGGAAGTGGATGAGGAGAAAGACCTTCGTGCCTCAGGGACCTGGGGAGGGTTTCGCAATTCACCTGCGAGTCTGACCCAGCCTCTACCCCTTAGAAAGAGATGGTCCACTGGGGCTGGGAGTGGAGAGACAGGCAGGCTGCAGATAAGAGGCAGAGAGGGTCGCCCTCCTGGACAGATAGCCCCATGTCGCTGTGCCCAGGCAGAGGCATCACCCGGCTGCCTGTGATCCCAGCCTGACTGCTCCAGTCTTGTCACAATGATTTTCATTGTTTTCACGGTCCCCCTCACTGGGCCAGCGTCTTCACGTTATATTCAACTCTGAACTCACATAATAGCCAACATTGTTATTGAGCACTTGCTCTGTTCAAGGCTGCCCACGCCCATTGCCTGTTGCCTCATTTGAGCCTCACATCAACCCTGTGAGTAGGCGCTGCTGGTATCTCCATTTTACAGATGTGGGTAACGAGACCTAACAGATCAGTAGAAAGATCAAATAACTTGCCCAGGTCACACAGCTGGTGAGTTGGAGTCAGAATTTGAACTCAGCAGTCTCGGCCCACAGCCCATATTCTGAGACATGGTTGTGATGCTAATTCTATGCACGATTTGAGTAGGCATCTGATAAAGTTCCAGCTTGCTAAGAGTCCTTGTTATTCAAGTAGTAAGGGAGCTGGAAAAGTAGAAGGAAGCCTGCTTGAGAGACCTTTTTTTGGTCCTGGCTGTACTGTTCATTAACTGAATAGCCTTAGGTCGGTTCCCTCTTCCCCTTATGTAAAATGGCTATAATAATAGATTCCTTTCCCATTTCACAGAGCAGTTATGAGCATGAACGAGAAAAATGTGTTAAATACTTTATCAGTTGAAAAGGTCAATATTTGGCAGGGCGCGGTGGCTCATGCCTGTAATCCAAGCACTTTGGGAGGCCGAGACGGGTGGATCATGAGGTCAGGAGATCGAGATCATCCTGGCTAACTTGGTGAAACCCTGTCTCTACTAAAAACACAAAAAATTAGCCAGGTGTGGTGGCAGGCGCCTGTAGTCCCAGCTTCTTGGGAGGCTGAGGCAGGAGAATGGTGTGAACCCAGGATGTGGAGCTTGCAGTGAGCCGAGATCAAGCCACTGCACTCCAGCCTGGGCGACAGAGTAAGACTCTGTCTCAAAAAAAAGGTCAATATTTCTATAGTTTGATTCAGCATTTACAACCTGAGTATTTCTAAAGTTTTAAAATATTTTATGGTTTAAAATATACAATAGGCCAGTCATGGTGGCTCACGCCTGTAATCCCAGCACTTTGGGAGGCAGAGGCGGGCGGATCACCTGAGATCAGGAGTTTGAGACCAGCCTGACCAACATGGAGAAACCCCGTCTCTACTACAAATACAAAATTAGCCGGGTGTGGTGGTGCATGCCTGTAATCCCAGCTACTCGGGAGGCTGAGGCAGGAGAATCTCTTGAACCCAAGAGGTGGATGGAGGTTGCCGAGATTGTGCCATTGCACTCCAGCCTGGGCAACAAGAGTAAAACTCTGTCTCAAAAAAAAAAAAAAAAA